GAGAGCAGAATCAGGCCCAGAGTTTTTGACGCACAGATTCCAATTATTATTCTACTCAGCCTGGAAACTCTATCCAGACCCAGATGAGGCCAGATCCTGAAGTCAATGGAGCAACATCGCTGAGTAGCTAGCTCTTCAATTTTTAAAAAAGCTAAGCAGAGCAAGTGGGTGCGATTAACATCCTTTCTGAAATTCTGATGACAAAATGAAACGCAACTCCCACATTACCTGTGTGCAGATAAATAGTTGAAAGCCCCCCCAAAAGAAAACTTCACCATGTATCCCTTATCTTAGAGGCAGCCACATCACAGCAAAGGGAGCCGCTTTTAGATAAACAGCAAAATGAACAGGACAAGATTGACTGTACCAAGCCTAAGGGCATTGACATCCGTTGACTTCTGTGGAACACTGTCATTGCTGTTACTCTGAAGCCTGTCATTTTATGTAGATATATGTTTATCGTAAAGCCAGGACACAATGTATTTTACTATGAGATGAGACTGCCAGTATCATGAAAATGTTTTTAAAAAACAGACTGATGAAGTAGAAAAACAATACCATCCATTCAGGAAAAGGGGATGCACCACTTATAGCAGGTTCCCCATAAGTTGTGCTGTTAGGATTGTATCAGTTGCAAAAGTCTGCGTTGACTGTGTACTGAAAGTCTGGACTTCACACACTCAAGCCGAGGAGCTTGGGGCCTTCTCTGTTGCCTTTGGACAGAAGTGAGCCCTAAAGGTCTGCACATGTGTCAGCAAATGCTGTAGCAGCCCACCTTGTGACCAACAGCTATCCAATAACTGCAAAAAGTGAGCATGACCAGAAGGTATTGTCTGCTCTCAGACAGAGTCAGTCAGCTCCCTCGGCCAACTTTACCCTATGCCAGCAATTCAACAGGGAGGGACTGGAATCAGCAATTTCCTTCTTAAAACTTTTCAGGGCTCCTGGGCTTGACAACATCTAGGGGGAGTTCCTGCATCACACGAGCTCATCTTGTTGTGACTTTCTGCTAAGACTCTAGTACTTGTCTGGAATGCTATACAGTTCCAAAGGTCTGACGAAGATCATGTCTAGTGGACTTCTCAAGCCTGGAAAGAAGGCAGATGACCCAAAGAACTATTGCCCAATCAGTCTGATCAGCCTCTCTTTGCTCAAAAGACTGGTACTTAAATGACTGTTCTCTTTAATCAACCCACAGTTACCTCATTACCAGGAACAGTTCTGACTGGGCTGTGGTGCTGATGATCAGATTGGCATCTTTTATTGAGGATGCCTTTGAGGCAGGACAAAAATTGCTACTGTGGTTGTTGATCTTCCATCAGCGTAGGACACAGTTTGGCACTGTGGACTAATCTTAAAATTATATTCCATGCTATCAGATAAGAAACTTATTATGCAGATGATTTCTAACAGAGCAGTGATGGTCATGTGTGGTGATGGTTCAAGTCACCCACGTCATATATATAGCTGATCTGCTGCCCACCTCAGCAACTAAGTTCAGTACACTGACAACATCTGCCTGGTCCCAAAATGAGTTTCAAGGAGCTGGAGTCCTGCTTGTCATTTGACCTTGACACCTTGGCCAAGTACTTTTTGAAGGGGTGACAAATTAAATGCACTGAAGACAGTGTCATCTTGTTTCCATCTTGCTAACCAGTTAGCTCAATGACAGCTGCTGGTCCTTCTGAACAACCAGTCAATTGGAACTCGGTAGAGCAGACACATACATCATTAGCTTGACTTAACGTGGTTTATGTTGACCTAAGTTTGTAGTGTAGACTAGGCCTTTGTTAAGTTAAATAGATTGAGCTGTTTAAAATCACAATAAGGCACGTGTCTAATCCTTAAATCACTCTTGTGGCTCTTCTCTGAAACCTCTAATCTCTCAACATCCTTCTTGATTTGTGGACACCAGAACTGGACACAGTATTCCAGCAGCAATCACACCAGTTCCAATTTAGAGGTAAAATAAGGTCAAGCAAAGGTAAAATAGAAATTACTTGAGCCTCCCTCTGGCAAACCATGCAGGAGAATATTAGAGTTTTCTGCTCTGATGTGTTTTAATCAAAGGGAGCTTTATTACTATTGATTACAGCAGGGTTTTCTCCCCCACCCCCTCTATCGCTCTCTCTCTCTCCTTTGTCTTTTTCCTCCATTCAGGTAGTTACAAATCCCTGTCCCACTTTCCTCTGTTTTTCCATTGCAGACAATAGGAGTTCTTGTTTTCCTGCTAGTTCCCAATCAAGACAATTAAGAGCGATCCGGACCAGCTCTAAGGGAGGCAGAGAGGTTTCACCAATTATAGCCTCTCATTTATTGTTAATAGTGTTCTCTAGGTTTTCCACTCCACTGGATTAGCTTTCAAGGCTTCCCCGGTTGTAAGAGGGAATGCTGCTGCCAATCCCAAGCTACTGATTCAGCTCACCAAATGATGGCTCTGCGCACAAGTTAACCTCTGAACTTCAGCCCCACTGTAGTCTCTGGCACAGACACACTTCAGTCTCAATGGAAAACCCAGCCTCATACAAGATGAAACTCACTCTGGTGCAGAGGGCAAGTGGGAGGTTTGCCTCTCAAGCCACATTGTGCAGATGTGCAGGACCACCTCCACTCCCCTGTATGTAACACACTGGGTCTCCACAGCAGACTTGCATAGGTCAGCATGGATAGGGGAGGGGTCCACAGGAGCCACATTCGTAAGGACACAGTATCCTAAACTCACTGAGCTGGTGGTTCAGCCAGGGCTGGAGTAGAAGATGTGAAGTGTGAATGTTGGGGTGGGAGCAGTCCCATACCTTTGGTTGGGGTGTTTGTGTGTTGATTTAATCTCCCTAACCCCCACCTGCATTTCACCACAGAAAGCCCAGTTGCTCTGTCTCTTTGCCCGTGCAATATATTTTACCCAGTGCAGTTGGCCTGAAGTAGGCCCTTTGATGGCCTGAAGCCCCACAATTCAGTGCTGTGCAGGGGTCTTATGCAGGGGGAATGGTGTCTCTAATGAAGGCTTAAAAGCCTTCTTTGGTGGTAAGAAAGCTATTTATTAAAAGGTGAAAAATGCTAAGAGTTTGTTCATGTCCTTTTGACTTTATATTTCCAGTCCTGCAGTATCACATACATGTAAAGTAGTGTATATATGTGTGTGAGTTTACCAGAGTAATCCAACAAATGCAGAGATGTAGCAGCATGCACAGAACACTATGTTCATTGCATGCATTAAACATACAAATCAAAGAAGTAAACTATTACCTTGAGGGGCTAATCAAGAACATCTGCTGCAGTGGAAAGCTTTGTGGGGTTTTTTTGCTTTTGCATGAGGAAGACAGAACCATGGTCCATAAGAACAAAATTCCTCTAGTAATTAAAAGATGTTATTACAAAAAAGTGATACAGACTTCCCGGTTAATATGGTCTCAGATCAGCAGAGACTTTTCTCCTGTCCTCTCTGCCAGGCTGACCACTCAAACAAATATCACTTCCCCAGATCTCAGCTTCAAGTTTCAAATCTCTGTGTCTCAGTAGGCATTATCTCCCAGTAACTGACACACAAGCCTCAGAAACTCAGTGAAGTGGGGCAAACCCTACTTACACTGCTTAAGTATTTTCAAATGGCTCTCTCACCCCAGGGCTCCCCCTTTATTATTACCTAGTCTCCTAATCTCACTGCAGTCAGAATTCCATCCCTCTACTAAAAATGCTAGAGCTTTGCTAGAGAACCAATACTTTATACCTTGTGTTAACCTTTTCCCCCCCGGATATTAGCAGTAAGCAGTAAAAACAAAAGTGCTGATGCCTTGGACAAGCCATTATTTGCTGGACTTTGATTCTAGCTTTCAAGGTAATGAAACTTACCACCAGTCATGGAAATCATGTGTAGCTGAGATTAAGTAACATTCCGAGATACTGGCAATAAATTGGTAAAAAAACCAAACAAACAGTGATAAATTATGGCTCTATAAAACTCAATCCTGCGAGGTGCTCAGTCATTGAAGCCAGTGAGAGTTGAAAGGACTCAGCACCTCGCAGGATTGAGCACTAATTTGGCAAAACTCTCAATGTTTTTAAAGTATTTATGAAAAATACTTTTTACTCTTCTCCTGCTTAAAAATGGTTGAACCAGTTTTGCTCAAACTTTACAATACAAACACGCAAAAAGTCACCTTTGGAAAGAGACTAAACCTGAAAAATTTCAACTCAAAGCTGAAAGATATAAGAAGCTGGAAATGGGCATCAGAATAAAAACATTTAAGCAGCCTTAGCTATAGCAGTCACTGCTGTTCCTGAAAGAACCCCTGGTTCGGAAAGGTATTTAAAGCACATGTGCAACTTTGAGCCTCTTTTGGTTCCACTGAAGTCAATGCCCTAAATAATTCACATAATTAAGTACCTTGCTGAAGTGGGGCCAGAAAGTGTGTTTCCATTTTTTCCTTCTTTCATTTATCCAAGATATATTTTTTAATGTTTTCTGATTCTCCCTTTCTATTTAGCACCTTATTTTTCTGTTATTTGTTTTTATTGCTGGTTTTCTTTGAGTCTCTTTAAACTTTTCCCTCATTATTAAATACTTTTTTCCTCTCCTTCCCCACGATCTCTTTCTCCTCTAACTCCTTTGTCTCTCCTTTCATTCTCTCCATTACTTCCAACTTCCTTCTCAAATCCTCCATCTACCTCTGGTCCAGTTACCTCCTGCTCTCTTTGCCCTCCAATGCTCCATGCCTAATACTTAAATATGCATATAACACCTTACAAACATGAAATATCACAGCACATACTGTGGTTGCCACTGAAGAGGCAACATTTGCCAATGGCTCCCCCACTTTGTCTATACTTAGCACATTTATTTCCTGCTCTATCTCAGTTCCCACTGTGTTAACTGTTGGCAAATGCTGAGTTTCTAATGGTAAGAGCATCCTGGGCAAATACATAGGGGTGAAGGCTGGGTTTCTACGGGCGGAGGGAGAGGATGTGGCTTCTTTTAAAAGCAGGTACTTTGAAAGTTTATTCTAAAACCCAAATGTGTTGCTAAAGAAGATGCTGTGCTCGTGACCCAGGCTCGCAATAGTTCGTGGTTGCTTTGGAAACTGCCTTGTGGGCTCATAAGCTCCTGGACCTGGTATTTTCTATAAAAATGAAAGAAACAAGTAAAATGAGGGAGATGTGTGTGGAATAAAGAACAATATACCCCATTAGTAGCATTGCAAAAGGAAAATATGCATCATTATTACTACTTATAATATTTATATTGCACTAGTGCCTAAGGCCACAAATAGGGATCAGGCCTCATTGAGCAAACACAGATAATAACACCTAGCTCTCACATAGCACTCTTCAGCTGTATTTGTCAAAACACTTTGCAAATGGGGTAGGTATCATGATCCCCATTTTACAGATGTGGAAACCAAGTCCCAGGGCAATGACATGATTTGCCCATAGTTACCCAGCAGGTCAGTGTCAAAGCTGGGAATAGAAACAAGATCGCCCAAGTCCCAGTTCAGTAATTTATCTTCTAGGTCCTGCTGCCTCCAATAATAAAGAGATGGTCTCAAAAGAGCTTACAAAGAGACCCCTATAGTTTAAATATTTATGCATGTGTGTAATCCAACTGATTTCAGTGTATCTGCTCTTGTGCTTAAAGTTACATATTTGCATAAGCATGTGCAGAATCAGTGCCAAAGTTCAAGATGAAAAACAAGAGGTGGATATGGCAGTCTGGCAGGGGAGAACAAAGTAACAATGAGATGATTCCGATCAATGCAATAAGGAGCAGTCACATCACAGCAGCTGCCTGGTCATAGTTAAGTGTTTTATAAAATGCTGCATACGCTTTATTGAAAACATAAGCCAATGCTATTAACATGTGACATGGCTCTACCAAAGAAAATGAGATTGTGAGAGGGAACAAGCTCTATTCCCAAAGCTTATTCCTACTCAGAAACCCCATAATTCCCTTTCACATTCTTAATGTTTTAGAAGGCCACGATGGGTGGTCTATGACTCCTCAAGTGTGCGATCACTTTGCACCTCTCCATCAGGCTACACTTTCCTCAGCCTCTTGTATTCTCACACAACAATGTAATTTAGTTTCTTTCTCCAAAGGTTGTCTCCGTCTCCCACCTCAGCCCCCAAGAAAAGTTTATAAACCAAACACACACAACAAACCTATTCCATAAAGGCCACCCAATAGCTGGCAGAGAACTAGGATGACTTTGGGTGGCTACCAAGATAGGCTGGATTTACCCCAATGGCTGAAAAGGGGAAATATTCCATAGCTCACACTAGTTTCTAAAGTTTTTTGTAGCTAACATTTAAGTGTGTTCTTTCTTTAGTCCAAAGTCCTACCTTTCTAATCTCTCTCAGAGTGATACTTTGTAACTGTTGCTTTAAACACTGACTTTGCATTATTAATTTCAAGCAGTTGACATACCCTATAGATTGGTTCATATTTCAGACTACTTACTGAACGGACTGGCTGCAACCTAGGCACTTTGGACTGGAAACACGAAGATACAGGGTGAAGTGGTTTTCCTTTCGTTTCATATTCACCTGGCCCTGGACCTTCTTTCTATAACACAACCAAAAGTGGATTTCTTAAAGGTGTATTCCCACAAGCTGGAACAGTTCATAGCTTTTCTTCTGGTGTCAAATTAAGGTGAAATATTCTGTTTACATATTTTATCTGATTATAATAATGAATGGTATTATGTGCACTAGTGTGGGTTCTGTGTAGTATATGTACCATTTCTGCCATAGCCTTTCATCCTCCAGCCGCAGTTCCTATGTCAGAGTAGCTGAGCTCAGATAAGCCAATTAAAGAGGGCAGGGCTACACCTGGAACTATCAAGGCCTGTCAGAGGGCAGGCAGAGGAGGAATGATTGGAGCAGGCTGGTGGTGGATTCCTGGAACAAGGGCTAGGTGCTCAGGGAGGTGACCCTGGGGCTGGTGTTCTAGAAGAGGGGTAGGGCTGCCTGAATGAAAACTGGCCCTGAGAAGGCAGCTGGCTGGCCCCTGGAAGGGGAGGCTGTGAGACTGTAGGACACAGGGTGAGCTGAGGAACTGTCTATTAGTTATGGGCTTACATTTGGATGAATAAACCTATCTAAAGGAGAGTGGGCATGGTAGTGAGTGCTGCGTCATATCCCTTCATCACATGGGGAGGTCAAGCAGTCCAGGGGACATGAGCAAGAGGACTGTAACTGCCTGTGGGTCCTAATACCTTCTAGGTTCCTTGTGCCAGGGAAAGGCACAATCTACCCTAAAAGACTTCTGTAATCCAGTAGTTAGGGCAGCCACCTAGGAGGTGGGAGACCCCCCTGCTCCAGCCTCTTTCATTGTTTCTCCACAATGAAACAGCTTCAAGAGGAGAGCCTGAGAGTATCCCATAGCTCAGTGATTAGAACACCCTCCTGAGAGGTGGTGGGTAGCCCGTGTTCAAATCCTTTCTGCCCCTTTGGGAAGAGGGGGAATTGAACCTGGCTCTCCTACATCCCAGGTGAATGCTCTAACCACTAGACTAAAAGTTATAAGGTGGGCACCTCCACCTTTGGCTGTTTTGTGTGGACCAGGCACGTGCCTAACTCATACCTCCAAGCTACACCTTAGGTGCCAAAGCTGCCTGACTCCAGGTGGCATGTTGCCATTCATGGACTGCTAAGCAGAGTAGGTGACTGTCTCCCTGAGAATGGTGGAGCTTAGCAGCTCCCTTTTTGCCAGCATCTCCTATTGGCTATCTTAGGCAGCTCCCCACCTAGCATGCTGGCTTTTGTGGATCACATTCTCTCTCCCCATTCATTGTATAGGAGCCAGTGCCTAACTCAGCTTTGTGGATCAGTGTTGTTCCGATGATTTTTCTAGGTTACTAAAAGTTAGGTGCTGTGACATTGAGCATTGCAATGCCTAAGTCTTTTTGGGGCTTTGGGCCCTACAAACTATATTTTGTTTTGTGAATGACATTTTGACTTCAAACAGCAGTATATCTTCACTCTTGTCTGTTAACTGCCATCTTGAGGGGAGGTGCCAGGAGAAAGTCCTGTGCCCAGCAGAGAGTTAACAGTGGAAAGGGATCAAAAATCATTAAATTGGATGGTCTTCCATTCAAACGGAAAATCTCTAAGACAGCGAGCTGTCCGCTACATAGGGGAAACTGTGCTTCCAGGTGGGCTTGCGACCAAGCAACAGATCAGCTGATGAGAAACCTGAAGCAGCTCAAAGTGGTCGCCTGACAAAGAGGACTGCAATTTTATAAAAAGGACTTGCTCCAGCAAAGAAAAGGGTTTCAGAGTAACAGCCGTGTTAGTCTGTATTCACAAAAAGAAAAGGAGTACTTGTGGCACCTTAGAGACTAACCAATTTATTTGAGCATGAGCTTTCGTGAGCTACAGCTCACTCATCCGATGAAGTGAGCTGTAGCTCACGAAAGCTCATGCTCAAATAAATTGGTTAGTCTCTAAGGTGCCACAAGTACTCCTTTTCTTTTTGCAAAGAAAAGGGGGAGCAACAACTGGGTAACTGAGCAACAAAATGACAGATGATAATGTTGATAAATGCAAAGTAATGCACATTGGAAAACATAATCCCAACTATACATATAAAATGAGGAGGTCTAAATTAGCTGTTAGCCCTCAAGAAAGATCTTGGAGTCATTGTGGATAGTTCTCTGAAAACATCCACTCAATGTGCAGCGGCAGTTCAAAATGCCAACAGAATGTTGGGACTCGTTCAGAAAGGGATAAATAATAAAACAGAAAATATCGTGTTGCCGCTATATAAATCCATGGTACACCCACACCTTTAACAATGTATGCAGATGTGGTTGCTCCATCTCAAAAAAAATATTGGAAAAGATTCAGAAAAGGGCAAAAAAAATTATTAGGGGTATGGAATGGCTTCCATATGAGGAGAGATTAAGAAGACTGGGACTTTTCAGATTGGAAAAGAGACTATTTGGGGATGATATGATACAGGTGTATAAAATCATGACGGGTGTGGAGAAAGTAAATAAGGAAGTGTTATTTACTCCTTCTCATAACACAAGAACTAGGGGTCACCAAATGAAATTAATAGGCAGCAGCTTTAAAACAAACAAAAGGAAGTATTTTTTCCACACAATGCACAGTCAACCTGTGGAACTCCTTGCCAGAGGATGTTGTGAAGGCCAAGACCATAACAGGGTTCAAAAAAAGAACTAGATAATTTCATGGCGGATAGGTCAATCAATGGCTATTAGTCGGGATGGTGTCCCTAGCCTCTCTTTGCCAGAAGCTGGGAATGGGCAACAGGTGATGGATAACTTGATGATTACCTGTTCTGTTCATTCCCTCTGGGGTACCTGGCATTGGCCACTGTCAGAAAACAGGATACTGGGATAGATGGACAGTGAAATCTTTGGTGAGCTTAAAACACAAAAAGGAAGCTTACAAGAACTGGAAATTTGGACAGATGACTAGGGAGGAGTATAAAAATATTGCTAGAGCATGCAGGAGTGTAATCAGGAAGACCAAAGCACAATTGGAGTTGAAGCTAGCAAGGGATGTGAAGGGTAACAAGAAGGGTTTCTAACGGTAGGTTAGCAACAAGAAGGTGGTCAGGGAAAGTGTGGGACCCTTACTGAATGGGGGAGGCAACCTAGTGACAGATGATGTGGAAAAAGCTGAAGTACTCAATGCTTTTTTTGCCTCGGTCTTCACAGACAAGGTCAGCTCCCAGACTGCTGCACTGGACAGACCATTACAGGGAGGAGGTGAGCAGCCCTCAGTGGTGAAAGAATAGGTTAAGAACTATTTAGAAAAGCTGGACATGCACAAGTCCATGGATCCAGATCTAGTGCATCCAAGGGTGCTGAAGGAGTTGGCTGATGTGATTGCACAGCCATTGGCCATTATCTTTGAAAATTCATGGTAATCTTGGGAGGTCCCGGACGATTGGAAAAAGGCAAATATAGTGCCCATATTTAAGAAAGAGAACCAGGGGAACTATAGACCGGTCAGCCTCATCTCAGTCCCCGGCAAAATCACGGAGCAGGTCCTCAAGGAAGCCATTTTGAAGCACTTGGAGGAGAGGAAGGTGATCAGGAACAGTCAATATGGATTCACCAAGGGCAAGTCATGCCTGACCAACCTGATAGCTTTCTATGATGAGATAACTGGTTCTGTGGATATGGGGAAAGCGGTGGATGTGATATATCTTGACTCTCACAAAGCTTTTGATATGGTCTCCCATAGTATTCTTGCCAGCAAGTTAAAGAAGTATGGATGGATGAATGGACTATAAGGTGGATAGAAAGCTGGCTAGATTGTCAGGCTCAATGGGTAGTAATCAATGGCTTAATGTCTAACTGGCAGCCGGTAACAAGCAGAGTGCCCCAGGGTTCGGTCCTAGGGCTGGTTTTGTTCAACATCTTTATTAATGATCTGGATGATGGGATGAATTGCACCCTCAGCAAGTACGCAGATGATAGTAAGCTTTTGGGGAGGGGAGGTAAATATGCTGGAGCATAGGGATAGGGTCCAAAGTGACCTAGACAAATTGGAGGATTGGACTAAAAAATCTGATGAGGTTCAACAAGGACAAGTGCAGAGTCCTGCACTTGGGAAGGAAGAATCCCATGCACTGCTACAGGCTGGGAACCAACTGGCTAAGCAGCAGTTCTGCAGAAAAAGGACCTGGGGATTACATTGGATGAGAAGCTGGATACAAGTCAGCAGTGTGCCCTTGTTGCCAAGAAGGCCAACGACATATTGGGCTGTATTAGTAGGAGCATTGCCAGCAGATTGAGGGAAGTGATTATTCCCCTCTATTCGGCACTGGTGAAGCCACACCTGGAGTATTGCATCCAGTTCTGGTCCCCCCACTACAGAAGGGATGTGGAGAAATTGGAGAGAGTCCAGCGGAGGGCAACGAAAATGATTAGGGTACTGAGTCACATGACTTACGAGGAGCGACTGACAGAACTGGGGTTATTTAGTCTTCAGAAGAGAAGAGTGACGGAGGATTTGATAGCAGCCTTCAACTACCTGAAGGTGGGTTCCAAAGAGGATGGCTCTAGGCTGTTCTCAGTGGTGGCAGATGACAGAACAAGGAGCAATGGTCTCAAGTTGCAGTGGGGGAGGTCTCATTTGGATATTAGGAAATACTGTTTCACTAGGAGGGTGGTGAAGCACTGGAATGGGTTACCTAGGAAGATGGTGGAGGTTTTTTTAACCATCCTTAGAGGTTTTTAAGGCCCAGCTTGACAAAACCCTGGCTGGGATGATTTAGTTGGTGTTGGTCCTTCTTTGAGCAGGAGATTGGACTAGATGACCTCCTGAGGTCTCTTCCAATCCTAATCTTTTATGATTCTATGACCAGAGGCAGAATAATCCAGGATGTCCTGCAGCTCTTAGGTTGGTGAGGAAACTGAGGCAGGAATCTGCATGCAGATCTTCTTTTTCCTGAAGATAGGCAGTACAAAAGATATGTATAAGAGCATGTGTGTAAATTATTATTTTTTTTCCATAATCTGTTACTTGACTTCACTGTCACATAGCCCTTGTAGGGGGAAGCAGTAAACCAGTGGGTCTGCAGCT